TCTCTACACTGCTTCCTGCAACTTGCATATACTGTACGATTGGCAAGTATTTTTCTCATGGCACGCCACTAGCTTAAAAATTTCAAACCGTGCGCGGGCAAGTTAGTATGCTTAAACCTGGTGATACTTCCACTTTTGGAATGAGGTCGACTAGGTTTTATTCATTAGGCCAGTATAGCCGTTTAAGCCTCCTACATTTGTTAACTCGCACTCCTATTGTCCAATGCAATTCCATTATTTACAGTGAGCGGAACGGCGCTGAATGTCCTGTCAAATGGAGACCGCGGACGTCTCACCAGCCTACTCCTTGTCTCTGTGGGTGTCTGCACACTTTTTGGCCATATCGGCAGTCTGCCCGTTATCCTCTACTTCACTACCGCCTTCCTCGTCATTTTTGCAACTGTTTTCGGCGAAGTCGTCTTCCATTCTTCGCAGAATTTCCCTTTGGGTAGTTAACCGCCAAAACCTTTTATTCATCAGGCCGTTGTTGTGATATCATCAGATGGCGCAGCAAAGAGTAAATAACGCAGCCACAAAAGGCCGTTCGATAAAAAGGAAAGTTGAAGACGTATTTACGCTAGAAGGCCCCAACAAGTTTTGCGAATTTTACTGCCACACGCTAATGGGCAAAAACCTTAAAATATACTCAAGCAAATGGTCTCTTTAAAAGACTCAACGTTAGGTTTGGTTTATGCAGTTTGTAACGTACTTATTCGGTCATGGGAAAAACTGGTGGCTACAAAAACAAATAAAATGATTAAATTCAAGTGAGAAAGTTAGCGGATAAAAAAGGTCGGATAAGGCCAAAAAGTACATACCCACTAAAACTGTCTCTTTAAAAAGCAAGTTGGGCAGACCTGTCGCAGGGAGTTAAGTTAATAGAGAAAACCCTAGCAGCTGTGATTTACGGACGCGCTTGCTTGTGGGATGAGAAGTAGGGAGACGTTGGGTGATTTCATTTCTGTGCAGAAGGAATGGCCCTACTGGTGGTCAAACTGCGGTAACCAAAACGGATATTGTAGTCATTGTAGTCATAATTATACACCGAGAGATAGAATTTCCTAGCATATAAAATATGAAGAATGTGTATTTTTCTACTAAACCATTACAAGGAAGATCATTTTTGTACATGATTTCTAAAAAATAAGTGTGATGATTTAAGGACTGTGAAAGTCAATTATAAAAAAGACATTTTCATTAAGTAGCCTTGTTTTCAGCGTAAAGCTTATAAAGGCGGTCAGTACGAAGCTCGCTCAAAAGCAGATCTCCTGATGTGATTGAAATATTTTGAAATAAGCCTGTAGGCTTGTTAGTATTACAACCATACTTAGGTCAGTTATTCCAATTCAAAAATATTTTGTTATTTCCATGAGATGAAATGGGGAATCTACTGCAGATTATATGCCATACCGTAGATGAAAGGCCACTTTGGCCACTGAGACGACAAACGACCAGTATCTGTATCCGCACAGTCGCCCAAATAAAAGTTTACAACCGCCAAGCGTGAATAGATGAACGGTGGAGTTTAAATTCTGAAAGTATTTGACGAATTAGGCGGTTTTCGGCTTTAGGTGATTATTCAGCTGACCTTGAGGGCAGTCCAATAATAGTCGCTATCGCTAGTACGCACTAAATTTAAAGGTGCAAAACGACAAAAAGCACCCGATGTCTAGTTCCGATTTATACATAGGGGAGAACAAATCCGTTTTTTCGATTTTCGGTTACCTGAAGTTCAGTTCCACTCTATGGCCATTTACTTTTAATAAAATCTTTTGCTTACTAGGATCAACAGATCCCATGTTCAAACTACTGAGGTGCAGTCATTTATTGGTGAACCCATTAAGTACATCCCAACCTACGGAGGTTTCCAGGATCATTGAGGTTGGCGTGTTACGTGTCCTTCGTAAGTAAAATTACTTTATGTACAAATTGTTTGCAAAACGGCTAATTTAGAATGTGTTACCTGTTGCTCATAGAGAGTTGTGCCTTACACTTTATTTTTATGTCGACTACACTAACCGAATCATTTCCACGTAGGAGATTAGTTTCGCCGAATACTATTTCCGTATGTAAACAAAGTGCAAACGTATAGCATTGTTAAGAAAAAAGGAAAATTTTACATCGATACATCAACTGTTATTGATTTTAGCTTTCGTAACTGCATTTTGATATTTCGTCTCGGTGTTTCCGTTTGTTCTCCGAATTTTTGATGCTACCACTTCATCTGGTTTCTTTATGGAATTCTGATTCCAGAATGATGGATAGTCACTTTACTCGTGAAACTTGAGCTTAAGTATGCTAACCTTTGATCAGAACCCTATGACTTTAATAATCCCTTGGGAGTGTCAAAACGGAACCAGTAGTGTGTTTTAACTCACACACGCTAATGCTCTAATCCTAAAAAACAGCCTTTGGGACGCCAATGAGCGCGTTCTTGTAGGAAGTATGAAGACGATGGCTTTAAATTTAGACAGAACGAATTAGGCCACGCGTTGTCACTCTACAAGACGTATGACTAAACAAGTATAAAACAGTGTTTCTTAAAAAGAAAGTAGCATGTTTAAAAAGGAAGACATTTCTGGTGGTGCTGCTAGGGGGAATGTCTTCGTTTCTGATTACGTGCTGATACGTTGGGTTAGGGAATTGCATCAGCAGGCAGAACATTCTGTATTTTCCTACTTATTGCTATCCCCCTGAGATTAAAACCCCTTCTTATATATTAAATGGATCCGACAAATTAAAGGGAGACCGGAATGCCCATTTCCGGCTTGTTTGCCATCATCAGCCCCTCATCACTTAATTTCCGCCTCCCTCAGGAACTCAAAAAGAGAGCACGCGCTAATAGTGACTAATGAAATAGAATGAAATTTGAATATATGTGTGTACGTATGCCCGGGAGTTCGATTGAGCTGCATGGTTCAACGGAACGGTCAATTGCCGTAACTTGATAAATGAACGGATGAAAATATACCTATGATGATGTTCTCATAGCAGCAAACGTGGGACTACTGAAATTCCTGATTTGCCATATAATATTAACAATTATTTACTGCTTGTTGCTCTTTCTTTACTTCGCACTTGACCACATACGTACTAGTTTTTAACTGTGGAAGACCGCATTTAATTCGTTAAAGTTAACAGATAAAAATATAGTTAATCGTATGAACACTTCTTTAATTGGCACATGACAACTTGACAATTTTCGACTTAAAATAATTTAAAATTTTAAGCGGTTATTTAGGCATAGAGTTTTATAATGCATATTTTCTTCAGAGCTGTTGGTGAACTTCTTTTCAAACAACGCCCATTGGACGGTTGGTGTGGCGCTGTCGCCCAATCAAGGCAGTATCAGCTTCTTCCTTGCGTCCTACACCGTTTTCTCCGTCTCCCTTCTGTTTGCCGCCTGTTTAGGGCTCGGCTACTCCGTACTTTCTACTTCACTTGGCAAACCCGTTTGGGAATTAGAATCAGTTGGTATGTGCATATGTTTTTAAAAAACTTACAAAATATTTCCAGAACGGCGCTACCAATAAACCCCGCTCCTTGACGATGGCGTTAAAGGCACATATTCCTGAAATGTTGCAGTTGAAGGCAAGTAAATAAGTTGAAAAAGCTTGTTGACTTATTTC